ACAAGTAGAATTTTGGTAGGTAAGGTAAAGCATTGCAGCATCATGGGCCAAACTGGCAGAGCAGGACAGGTCAGTGATCTTGAAGAACTTGGCACATTTTGGCCAAGTAAGAAAGATACATTGTTATTGCTCATTTGTTATTGCTCGTCTTTGCTTATTTCTTTTTCGTTCTTCCTCTTTCTAGTATGCTCTTCTCAGCATCCACCGATAAAACTGTGGCAGTGTGGGATAGTGAAACAGGCGAGAGAGTTAAAAGGCTAAAGGGGCATACTTCCTTTCGTGAATTCCTGTTATCCAGCTAGGAGGGGCCCCCAGCTTGTCTGCACTGGCAGTGATGATGGTACAGTTAAGGTGAGTATTCTCTGTCTGTGTTGTAGTTTCTTTTTTTTTTTTTTTGAGACAGAGTCTCACTTTGTTGTCCAGGCTAGAGTGAGTGCCGTGGCGTCAGCCTAGCTCACAGCAACCTCAAACTCCTGGGCTCCAGCGATCCTTCTGCCTCAGCCTCCCGAGTAGCTGGGACTACAGGCATGTGCCACTATGCCCGGCTAATTTATATATATAATCAGTTGCCAATTAATTTCTTTCTGTTTATAGTAGAGACGGGTCTCGCTCCTTGCTCAGGCTGGTTTTGAACTCCTGACCTTGAGCAATTCGCCGCCTCGGCCTCCCCAAGAGCTAGGATTACAGGCGTGAGCCACAGCGCCCGGCCTGTGTTGTAGTTTCTGAGGTGACATAAGGTGAACCTTATTTTTGCCTTTCCACTTGTGCTATACCTTCCTTTGCACAACTTAATTTTAGTATTCATTTACTAAAACAGACACCTGAAAATTTTCCCTGTTTAAAATAGTGTTTTAATTACTATACAGAATAATATTAAAACTATACAATAAATTGTTACTTGAAATAAAATGGACTGTGTGGGTTTGATTGTTGGATCAGCCGTTAATTGTGTGACGATGGGCAGTTTACTTTTCTGAGTTTCTTAATCTTTAGATCAGTGATGGTAATAAGTATGTCTTACAAGGCTGTTGTGAGTATACCTACAAACGAGACAGCAAAAAATGAGATTACACACAATAAATAAAATGCTCAGGGCTGGGCGTGGTGGCTCACCTATAATCCCAGCACTTTGGGAGGCTGAGGTGGGTGGAGCCCTTGAGGTCAGGAGTTCAGGACCACCCTGGGCAACATAACAAGACCCCATCACCACCAAAAAAAAATCATAATGAACCCCAGTTCATTACATGGTGGCACATGCCTATGGTCCTGGCTACTTGGGAGACTGAGGTGGGAGGATTGATTGAGCCCAGGATTTTGAAATTACAGTGAGCTTACACCACTACAGTCAAGCCTGAATGACAAAGTAAAACCTTGTCTCTTAAAACAAACAACAAAAAAAAACCCTGTTTTTAGTTCTATCCCGTTGTAAAACAGTATAGAAACTTAAATATCTTTTAGTTTGATGGTTTCCAACCTGTCTGTAGAGAGAATCACCTGAAGAACCTGTTAATAACCCAAAGATTCTGGTTCAGTGGGTCTGAAATAGGAATCAAAATTTTTAACAATACTTTCCATTGCCCCAAAGTAAAAAAAAAAAAAAAAAATTTAACATGTTCTTTAAATGATTTGTGATATAGCAGGTTTGACATTTTGGGAGCCACTGACCTTGTCCAACATCCTCATTTTACAAATAAGGAAATGAGGCCTAGAAATAAAGCTCAGAGGCACACCAGGAAAAGCTGCATTGTGGTACCAACCATTTTATTCTTCCTTTGGCACTAATTTTGGACTCTGGGTTATATTTTAATGATTAAACGGGGAGGGACTTCAAAGAAATACATCTGGGAAACCATACTAAATTTGTGATTGTTGGTTTTTTCTTTTCTGTCTTTTCTTTTCTTTTCTTTCTTTTCTTTTCTTTTCTCCCTCCTTCCCTCCCTCCCTCCTTCCCTCCTTCCCTCCCTCCTGACCTTCCGCTGCCCTGGTGTCAGCCTAGCTCACAGCAACCTCAAACTCGTGGGCTCAAGCAATTCTGCCTCAGACTCCCAAGTAGCTGGGACTACAGGCATGCGCCACCATGCCTGGCTAATTTTTTCTATATATTTTTAGTTGTCCAATTAATTTCTTTCTATTTTTAGTAGAGACGGGGTTCTCGCTCTTGCTCAGGCTGGTTTTGAACTCCTGACCTTGAGTGATCCGCTCACCTTGGCCTCCCATGATTGTTGGTTTTTTAAATGAATTTGGTTTTTTTAAGTGAAACTGGTGATACTGACATATTGGGTTATCTGCTTTGAGATGATTTTCTACTGCATGGTTTTTTATGACTAATCGGTTGGGCCCCTTGATTGGTTGGGAGGAGAATCAGTGGCCTAGGTCTGGTTTTAAGCCTAGAGCTCCAACTTACCATAGTTAGAGCATCTTAACAGTAACTAATTTGCTAATTGGCATTTCAAAATGTACTAAAAGGTGGAAATGCCCTAATGTATTTTGTTAAACATTATTCAGGGCCTGCTATAATAAACGTCTAGGAACTTACTCTTGTTTATTTCTACCTTTCACTTTACCCTCACTTTCATTGATTTTGTCTTTTCTTTTTTTTATCTCTGTCCTCATGTTTATCTTTCTCTCTATCCTTAACTACTAGTAGTAGGAAAAAAAATATGTCCTTTCTCTTTTCTTTCAGTTTTTTGATTCACTTTTCCTTTAATTAAACATGATTTCAAATAGTTATTTTAACTTTATTACTCAAGGTAATAAATTTAATGAACAGTGTGTCACGTTACCTAAAGATGACCATTTTGGGCTGGGCATGGTGTCTCATGCCTGTAATCCCAGCACTCTGGGAGGCCAAAGCAGGAGGATTGCTTTAGCTGAGGAGTTTGAGGTTGCAGTGAGCTATGATGAGACCACCATACTCCAGCCTGGGCAACAAAGCAAGACTCTGTTTCAAAAACAAAAAGACAATCTTTGTTTATTGACTGTAGTTTGTAGTAGTAAGGCTTGAAAAATATGTTGGAGCCAAGTTATTAAGCCCTTAAATTCTAAGCTAAGAGGTTTGGACTTGATTCTATAGCCATAGGGGTTGTAGAAGGGGGTGGTGTTGGGGCTATAGAAAAGTGAAGTAATCTTTTTGGACCATTTATCTGAGTGACAAACTAATTTTTAGTTGATGTTGCCATGAACAAAGTAGACACTGCTTTTCATCCTAAACCATGAGAGTTGAGAGGAAGAGGCATCTTGGCACAGGTCCTCTTGCTCAGACACTACTTGTTACCCAGAGGACTGAATTTAAGCCTATGGGTCTTCTACTATAATAGAAAGAAATTAATTGGCCACTAATACATATATAGAAAAATTATTAGCTGGGCACGGTGGCACATGCCTGTAGTCCCAGCTACCTGGGAGGCTGAGGCAGCAGGATCGCTTGAGCTCAGGAGTTTGAGGTTGCTGTGAGCTAGGCTGACGCCATGGCACTCACTCTAGCCTGGGCAACAAAGCACTCTGTCTCAAAAAAAAAAAAAAAAAAAGAAAGTTTAAAAGCCACTGTGTAGATCTACTTTAACCTCAACTTTTACAGATAAGGAAATTAAATCTCAAAGTGGAAACTGACTTGATGAAGAACAGCAGCAAGTCAATAGCAAAACAAGGACTACAATTTAATATTGTCTGATTCCATCATACCAATATTATATTAATTTAAAAGTATTAAAATATGTGCAAATTTTTAATAATATATGCGTTTTTAAAAAAGAAATTAACACATGTATTCATTTTTAATGGCTACCTGATAATAATATAGGAGGAAAGGAAAGGAAGATTAGGTATAACAATTCAAGAACTCCATACTCTAGCTAGGCAATTTGGGTGTACTTAAAAACAAAACAACATAACCACTGTGGTTCTACATTTTAAAAGTGTGGATAGGCTGGATGTGGTAGCTCACACCTGTAATACTAGCACTCTAGGAGGCAGAGGCGGGCCGAATGCTCAAGGTCAGGAGTTTGAGACCAGCCTGAGCAAGAACAAGACCCATCTCTACTAAAAATAGAAAGAAATTAGCCAGACAACTAAAAATAGAAAATTAGCCGGGCATGGTTGGCGCGTGCCTGTAGTCTCAGCTACTCAGGAGGCTGAGTAGAAGGATTGCTTGAGCCCAGGAGTTTGATGTTGCTGTGAGCTAGGCTGACGCCATGGCATTCTAGCCTGGGCAGCACAGTAAGACTGTCTCAAAAAAAAAAAAAAAGTGTGGATAATATAGAGGGCCCAGAGATGTTTCAATAAATGACTGAGAGACTTGAGAAGATGAACCAGGAGAAAATGAGTATAGGTCATTTTATTCAGAAGAAAAAGAATTTGGAGTGAATGTGTTCCAAGTTTTAAAGGGCTGTCATCAAAAAGAAAGGAATCAACCATGCAATCTTAGTTAAAAAGTCATAGGCTTAGGCCAGGCGTGGTGGCTCACGCCTGTAATCCTAGCACTCTGGGAGGCCGAGGTGGGCGGATTGCTTGAGGTCAGGAGTTCGAGACCAGCCTGAGCAAGAGCGAGATGCGAGACGCGAGACCCCGTCTCTACTATAAATAGAAAGAACTTAATTGGCCAACTAATATATATATAGAAAAAAAAAAAAAAACTAGCCAGGCATGGTGGCGCATGCCTGTAGTCCCAGCTACTTGGGAGGCTGAGGCAGGAGGATCCCTTGAGCCCAGGAGTTTGAGGTTGCTGTGAGCGAGGCTGATGCCACGGCACTCACACTAGCCTGGGCAACAAATCGAGACTCTTGTCCTCAAAAAAAAAAAAAA